GTGATGAGAATACGCAATATCCTTCTGTAAACTTTGAAAAGAGTTTACCGTCTTAACTGAGAATGAGCTACGTATATCCTTCACTTCGAACGACACAACAATCACGGGGTAACAGTATCGCCGATGATAGACTTATTCTTAAATTATAAACAATTAGATATACACGCATGTCTAAAGTTATCTTTCGATAATGTTACAATAGCGTGAATTGTTGTTTCAACTTAATGACAGATTTATGTGCCTACGAATTGTCATAATGTTCTCTTTTCTCTCCTTCCTTTTATACTCTCAATTAATTAACTTACTGTATACACACATAGGCTGAACTTGTATCTTTATACTTAATATACATCAAGTCAATTTTACACGTTTCTTCAGTGAATTCTTCCATTTTATCGGACAAACATTTAACAGACACTTGAGATTCTTGCGGTACACGCAAATATACAATGTACATACATATATCGGTATATTTTTAATATATATATATATACATACATATATATGTGAATGTGTGTGTGTGTGTGTACGCGCGCGCGCGCGTACGTGTGAGTGTCACTATGATGTAATTCTTTATTTCTTACATGATTAACAATATATAATATATGCATCCTCGTGTAATTCGTTTATCAATAGATTCTCCTTTTATATTCATTTTTGTTACTTTTTTAAATTCTTTTCTTTTCTTCATAAAATGCATGACACAAAAATAAATGCTTATATTTGTAAATTATATTTACCTTCTTTCCATCTCTCTTACACACATATTCTCGCGCGACGTATACACTTAATAACCATATATATAGCTTATTTTCTTCTTTTTACAAAATATCACAAAAATCACACCAGCCTTTGTTCGCAGCAAAAAACCATGTTGTTAAAATCTCGTTAAAACGATATTCTCGGTCCATTCTGCGCATCGCGCGCTTTCGCGTTTAAAAACATTAATATATATAATATTAACGGTATATCGATGCGATTGCACGTGCTCATGGGAACATACGGCCACGCCATATAATTGTCGTTGGCAGTGATTTGCACGTAACAGATAGACGAAAAATTCTAGCAAATATTTGCAAGAACTTCGAGTTATGTACCATTAGAAATTTCGAAGAAAAATGCCCAACTGCAACGTCAATTACCATGTGCGTTTCTCATTTACTTCAAATATTTCTTAATCAATATGCACTTAACAAATATTAATTGATTTTGTCAATTTTATGTTTTACAAATAATCGTGTGTGAATCAAAGTTTGATCAAATCAAATTATTCAAGTCGTAATGCAAGCTCGAATCAAGTTTGTACATACATATAAATATAATCGGATTTTGACAAAATACGATTACAAATAAACCTGTTCAATTCCGATTTGCAGTAAATTCATTTTCTCAATTATGAAAGAATTAACCCCTTCACATTTTACATTCATTGTAATGTATATTAAATTTAAAGAGACATTATCCGTTGAAATTATTTAATTCTATCGACATCATCTGAAATCTGATGTATATAATAATGCTATTATGTCGGAAAAATAATCAAAATTTCAAAAAAATTTATTGTTTAGTATGAATTAATTATGAAAATATACATAAATATAATAAAGTAACTTTTTTACATCGTCTTAATAAAATTAGGTCTGAAGGATTAACACTCATTATTTAATAACAGTTGAATTGATCGCGGAACAATCTACATCATGGTATATCTTAGCATGGTGGTCTTTTGGTATGGCAGATATGTTCTGTCACGACTTTAGTGTTTTTTATCATGTGCACGTGGTATCGCATATATACGTCGCATTTTATTCGCGCACACGATATAATATCGCCTTAGGATCTACAGACATCGATTTTTTCTTTTTTTCCTTTTATTCTTTTTTCTTTAATATTATTAATAATTTTGTCGCCTAAGTTGCCTCGATTCGAGATAAGTGTTCACGCACTGCGGAGCTATCGTCATCTCTGTATATCCGAATGAAGAACAAGAAAAGCAAATCGGACGACGAAACAATGAAAGCGCTAGTGACCAGCACGACGCGCGTGTTTTCACTGAGTGTAGGTCACACGTGTTGAAGGTGGAAAAATAGGTCTCTATTTCTTTTCTACTGCATTTCTTGTGTCATTCAAGTTTTCTTTCTTTCTCTCTAACATAGAAAAAGGAGAAACTTGAACGATACAAGGAATTGAAAAGAAAACAGACCCAATATATCTATATAAACGGTCTTTTATAAATATAGTTGTCTAATCGTTCTTATTGCATGATCTCTTTTAGCGAGGCCTGACGTACAGAATACGAAAATCTCTTGAATCCGGAGAACATTTTTACATGTTTCTTTTTATGTACATTAATTGAATAGTCTGATACCTCCAGGGAAAAATCTGTGTATGTCGTAACTCGTCACTCGTGCACTATTTATTCAAAAAGAATCGCTCGAAGTTATACTAGTGTCGACTCCTTTCTTTACAATTTTAACACATTTTATCAAACTGTTATTTTTGGGGAAACTTCTTCAGATCGCCACGTAGAGAACTTCCATATATAAAATATAATTAATTTTTTTAAATCGTACAATATATATATATATTTCTATTTATCGGAACTTTCTCTCTCTCTCTCTCTCTTTCTCTCTATCTCTCGATTTTATTCATTTTATCCATTATGAAAGAGAAATGAGAAACAGCGAGCGTTCAGCGATTTAAACTTTAAACTACTATCTTGCTATTAAACTCGCCCTTTTAGAATCTTAATCTTCTGATTTAATAATTTACAGTAGAGATGTCCAATTAGTTTCTCCAAAGGATCAAATTTCAAAATTTTAACTATATCTCACTAGTCACTTTACCTTTGAAAACTATCGAGTTCTTTGAACTAGTAATTTTCAAATAATCATTGCAACAGTTCAATCACAATGTTTATACAAAGTGTTTGGTAAAAACCGTAATAACGTTTAAAAGTAGATTCCTGAGATAATTTTAAGATGAAAATTCTGACCAAAATCTCGAGAGTATAATAGTTTTTAAATTATAAGCACTTAAAGTTAGCGAGTCATGTCAGCTAAAGTTCGTACGCTTAGGTACAGTTGGATTTTCCATTGTATTACATCTGGGGATCAATCATGTAATTTTTTCCCTAAGGCGGAAACGTAAAAAATTAATTTTTATATATGTATATACGTATTTTACGTACAAATATTAAAATTTTCATCTTAAAATGACCTTTATAGAAATCTATCCTTAAGCGGCGTTGTTACGGTCTTTATTTGTCAGCTTGTATATTACTCCAAATACAAATAAATGTATTTTGAAGAACTGCGATTTGTTGTCTTTGGTCACCTTGAAAAAGGTCACCTCAGGGTTATAGCTAAGGTCTACTTTTATTTCTACATTCTCTAAACTGATATATTTGTTTCACTTCAACATGTTGTACCGTGTGCATCAGTTCAGAGAGTGCAGTAAAAACAGATCAATGTAATAGTAACAACCAAACAATCTTCGAGATGATGGTCAGTTAGACAGTTTCTAAATTTTATATATTTTAAAGTCGCGGGCCGGACGTTGGGCATCCCTGATTTATAGGAAATACATTCCTAATCTTAGAAAAGTAATTTCGTATACAAACAAAGACACTTATGCCGATATTCTCGTAGCCATGAATCAATCGTTCATATCGAAAACTCATACATCAATACATCCTATCGTTGATGTATTATCCATAGTACGTCTTTCATAACAGTAGGCGCAATATAAAAAGAATATCTAAGAGTTTGAGATATACATTTGTTGTATTAACACAGCTCTTTCTCAAATTCCCTGTACTTGTCTCCCTGAATATTTCGATAATATACGGCTCGTTGAAAATGTTTTAAAAAGGAAAGAGATCTAAGTCTCTCTCCGATTTTGATGAGCTTTAAATCTGTTAATATTTTCTAGACAAAAATAAGGGTACGTTTTGTTTTATATGAACCCTAACGCACTTTTAAGGGATAAAACATCCCTTAGAAAAAAATCGGTTTTCTTCTTTCCAAGTAAATATTGTCGAAAATATAAACGACAGGAAAAATGTTTAAATAAAGTTAAAGAGTTTTAAAGTTAAGTAGAGATAAGTAAAAAATAATTTCAAAAATTTTGTTATAATTATAAAGTATTCTTCAAAACCCTTTAATTTTTTACTTCAAACATTTTGTCTATCTCTTATAGCTTCGACCATATTCGCTTCGAAAAAAAGAAACTTATTTGTTTCACTCCTTAAAAGTACATCAAGACACATACAAAACCAAACATATTTCTCATTTTTGTCCAAAAAACAACATATTCAAAGCTCATCAAAATTAGAAATAGACATGTGGATCTCTTTCCTCATAAATAGATGTCCGAGGTCACAATTAGCATTCAAAAATATACACACGGATAATCACGAATAATTAATTCTTCTTACGAATTATCCAAGGCAACACGATGCATCAGACTTGTTTTATACAATTGTGACAAAGTTCGATTAGCTTACCATTTATATTGATAATATCAATAACTATTCGCAAATGTCCGTCGAATTTTCGAAGAACGTGTGTTCACAATTTATTTTCTCCCATCGAATTATCGAACGACAATGTGTTTGCTCTGTCCTCATTTTTCCACAATAATCAAATAAAACCATCCAGAGACAAGAGTTTTAATAATATTATAAAATGTCTCCATTCCAGTTTTTACATCAAGTCTCGAGACCATTCGTTGTTCGTCGATAAGATACTGGAATTGAAAATTTGTTAAGCGACAGCCAATTGGTGGGCGAAAGCTGTTAAGCGCGCTTGAGTTCATCTCAACAATTTTAACAGTGATTCGTTAAAAAGATTTCAAATCTTATCAACCACAATAAAAAAGGAAATCTATAGAATGGACAAATATAATTTGTCATCCATAGGTAACTATACAACAATCACGCTCATCAAACGCGCGAAGTACAATAGAAATATTTGCAAAACTCACAAACTTTGCTTTCGCATTCAGCACAAAAAAAAAAAGGTTGATGATATATCATAGCTCATGACATATCATAGCAAACTATCATCAACCATCTATGAAATATTACAGATCATTTCTTCCTTATTACTTGGCCGTCGTTTATTTTATCATTTGTCATTTGGAAAAAAAAATATTGAAAATCTTAAACATGGGATTGTGTACGAATTGACACGTGTTGATCGTGTTTTCGTAAGTAGAACATTCGCAGCTGAGCGTGCGTCTGTCGCAACAGTCATGCGTGATGGCGACTCCCTCAATCTGCACTGAGAAATGCACTTTTAGAAATTTGAAAGAGCATTTACACAATTTCGTGCAATTAACTAATGCCTTCTACATCTAGCAGAATGACCTTCATGCATCTCACTTGGCCTCTTCCTGATCCATTGGCTCTTCGGAGACCTCTCGGGAATGTTCTGGTGTGGTCCTATATATTTAAATAAATATACATACATAT